GACGAAGAAAGAGAAAGAGAGAGAGACAGAGAGGAGAGAGAGGGGCACGTTCGGGGTGGCACCCGCGGTGTTAGCCCAGCTTTCTGCAACTGTCTTCAGGGAGGACAGGGTTAAAAACCTAGTCAGACTTTGCCTCTTGGAAAGCTTTGGGTTGCAGCCGCGCCTCCCAAGCATTCTTTAAACCAGAAAAGTGGGAGGGACTCTAGGAGGGAGGGAGGGAGAGAGAGAAAGAGAGCTCGAGCGGGGGAGCGCGCCAGAGCGCCGGGGACTGAAGGCGAGGAGGAGCGCGGGAGCGACACAGGCGATCCCGCGAATTCATTACTGTAAACATCTCCCGGGGGTGTCAGGAGGGGTGGGGGTGAGGGCCCCGGCGCCTACATTAGCCGGGCCGCGTCGGATCCAGGCTGCAGTGTGGTCGGAGCAGCCTCCAGACCCGTGCCGGGCGGGCGTAGCACTTGGAGCAAGCCCCGCGCCCGCCCCCGCGCAGCGCCGCACTCCGGGCTCCTTGCAGTCCGCACGCGCGTCGGTGGAGCGCCAGCCTAGCTCTCCCGCAGACCCCCGGGTCCTCGGTCTCCCAGGAGCCCCGGGGCCACTGGACCGCTTTCCACCGCCTTTTCCGCTCGCCCTACTTCTTACGGGGTTCGTTGGCTGGACCGAGGCGGAGAGGGGGAGGCAGAGGAGGAAAGGAGGCGGGAGCCGCGGCCACCGGGGGCTTTTGCCCGGCGGGCGGGGGTGGCGGAGGACGGGGGAAGACGATGCCGCGGCTCCGTAGGGGACGTAGGCGAGAGCGAGCGAGGGGAGCTGGGCGCCCGGGCGCAGGCCGGCTGCGGGGAGGCGCGCGCCGCTCAGAGGCTCTGGCCTCCGCACCCCCGCGCCCCGACGCAGCGGGCGACAGAGATCGAGTACAGCAGCCACCGCCGTCGCCACCGCCGCCACCCGGAGGACAGAGCAAAAGTTTGGATCTGGGGGAGGGCGCAGTGCTGAGCGGGATTACCACCGGGGCTGGAAGGAGACCTCGAGGACCTTTGCAGGTAACGCGCATCCCAGCCCTTTCCCTCGGCGCTGTCTCGCGGGGCGCCTCTCCCTGGCAGAGCCTTCCCTGGTGCTCTTGGCTGGGAGTGAGAGACTGGCGAAGTTCAGGATCCCGAGGCTGGGCACCGGGCGCTGGCAGATCTAGTCACATTAGAGAGGCCCTTGGCGTTTCTCTGCGCCCAGCGGGCAGCTGGTGGGGTGGCGAAACCCCCCAGGAGTCCTGAGGACCCTGGGCTCCAGTGGGTGCCCCACCGTGCAGCGCATTGGAAATCTGCAGTGTGAATTCAGGGGCTTTTAGTATTCTTTAATCCAGGGAAGTGATTCATGGATTTCACTCCCTCCCACCCTGTTACTCTCACACCCCAGTCTTGCCTCTTTTTACAATAGGATGAGTCCACTCTCATTTGCCCGCTAGGTTTAGCTGGAGCAGAACAGCAAATTGGGGTAGGGGGGGAAATTGCAAGCAAAAGGGTAAAAATATCCTTACCCCTTTTGACATCTCGAGAGCCCTCCATCGCCCCATGTACCTTCTGGCATCATAATATCGGAACTTTAGAAGTCGCATTTTATTGAGGGGTGAGATGAAACATGTCAGCTACTGGCATGTGAATTTGCACTGATTTTCCCTGTATGTGTTTGGGGGAGGGGGTTAAGGAGGTTGAATTTTTTCTCGGTGGCCTGATGCACTGTGGTGCCAGGGAGGAGAGTGGGCGCCTGTGAGCACCAAGGCGGGGGCAGTGGGGAGAAGACCATTTTTGAACAGCACCCTAGTTACAGAAAAGAGCCGCTGCTCACTCCGGAAAGCTGACATTGGAGCCCCAACTCCCCAAAGCCCCCCTTCCCTCGAATCTGAGTTTTGTTGAGTTTCAAAGCAGCTCAGCGCTTGCCTGCTGCTCTCATGTTTATTAGGATCATTATTTATTCACCTGGAAATTCATGGTGCCTTCTCTTGTGAATGGGAATCAGTCTCCAAGAGCTTTTGATTAATTTTAGTGGAGGGAATCTCTTTAAAAATGCTCACAGTAAGCTAATCAAGTGCAAGGCACAAATCCGTGTAAAAGCTCACGCAGGAGTGCAAGGTGCTGATTCCCATTTCTTTACAAGCTGTATTTGCTATGCAAAGCCTCTTCTAAATGGGAGCTGTGACTCCTCACTCAGCTGGGAGGGTCTTTAATCACCACGCTGGGTTTCAGGGAGCTTTGGTGCATGTCCACTGGCTCTCAGGCTTATTGCTAAATTTATTATGTCTAACTTCTTCCAGCTGAAAGCTAATATGTAGGCTAGCTTCCATATCGGGACTGATAGTGTCTGTAGACTTAACTGGTGTGACCTTATTAAATCTCCAATGAAAGGATCCCCACAGCATTTCTAGATATATAGAATGCAGGTCGGCATTTGTCCAGGGATCTATTTGGTTGTTGTAGTATGAATGTAAAATTTTAGGTCTGTATCTGAAGTGTTAGAACTGCATTATTATTCTTTTTTCATCATTGAGCAGTATGCATTAGATAGCTACTCCGGGGAGTCCACCATATTAGAAGAGAATCACTCTTTGGTTAATAGGAGCACCATGAAGAGTTGCTTATTTCTCCCACAATGTTCTCGCTCTTGATAATATAACTTTTCTTTGTCCCCTCCCCCAGCGCCTGAAAGAGATAGGGTTAAACCTTTAAAGGATTTTTAATAATCACAGATGACAGTGCAACACCATGCTGTCATGTCGAGTTGCAAATATCTGTGACTGGAGGAGGTTGGAAGATGAAATTTCAAACATTATCCCATGTTTCTGCCAATAGGTACAAGAAACTGTAAAAAGAATTGAGCTAGCTGTAGTGTAGCAGAACCTATTACAAACCTAGCATGAAAGGAATGCTGGTTTTTTTTTTCCCCAAAAAAAAGGTACATGTCTTAACACTTCAGTAATTTCATTGCAGTTTTAGAAATTCCAAGGGATGCTTTTAGCAGAAGGAAGTGAATTTCCAAACGACACAGTACTGAGGTACCGTGGGATCCCCAAAGCAGTCATGGTTTTTCCTGTATGCCAGGTTTCAGATGAGGTGATCTTATCCGAATTTGACTTTGAACGGCTGGATCTAATTTGAACCTTCTCTGATGCCCCTTGCATTTATATTCTGGTTTGCTGGAGAGTTTGATTTAGGATATAGACATTTCTCCCTAAAGCAACCTTGTCTTTTTGCAGTTGGAAACTGTGGTTTCAAGAAAGGCTCAAGTATGTCCGAGTCCAGAAACCTTACTCTGTAGAGGCCCAGTGTGAATATCTGAGCTAGTTTGCCTCTTCAGCTTGATACTTCACAAGAACTGCTTTTGCTCTCAGCAGTGTTTGAAGTTTGGGGCATGAAAACCCAGCCAGGGTCCTTAGTGGCTTTTGATTCCACTCTTTGTTTAGAAAAATTAAAAAAAAAGGTCAAGGTGACAGAATATTATTTCTACTCAGCTCAGACCTTTCTGGACAGTCATGTTTTGGTATCTTTAATTTTGATTCAAGTTCATTTTTCACTAGATTACTTTAATAACTTTGTGGTTTCTGTCACTGTGATTCAAATTCAGTCCATTAGTGACCTCTATCTGTGAGAAGTGAATACTCATTGTTTTTCTTGCTTCTCTTCAGAGTCTGCAGATTAAGGGTAGTGGTGGCTGGGAACCCCACCAGCTCTGTACTTCTTTCTGAATTTTATTTCAATTTTTTCGAATTTGATTTCTCTAATATGGACGTCTGTGTGGATAATGATACTTAATAACAGCAATAAAAAAGAGCTACCAGAGAAGCTACTAAATGATTATTCCATGTAGGAGCAACCATATGATCAACATAAATAAAGCATCAGTGCTATCCACTGCCAATAAAAAATTATGCAGTCAGGTAGACTATTGTTTTGGGACTCACAGTGCTCCTGACTGTAAGTGAAATTTTACTGCCCCTAAGTGCTTACATAACAAGGGAAATTTGAGACAGGCTCAGAACATATACGGTAAGCAGACTTCGTAGTAGCTGTGTGTATATGTCTTTAAATTCAGCTGTGCTTCTGCCCAAGTTACTTGCCGATCAAGGACGAAGTGGAGTGTGAGAAGGGTATTTATAAACAGATGGTCCTTTTCAGGAGACTTTTAAAATCTGATTTCTAAACCAGCTTTGTCTTCAGAGGGATTTCAGATAGAAATTTCAATTTTAGTTGACTATTCTAAATACTAATTGAAGACAAAGTTTACTGGATTTCTTATGTGGGTGGATACCATTATCTGACATTTTCCAGATGGTTTTTGATGTAGTGGTATTTGGGGGTATGGAATTTTTAGGAGGTTTTCTTTCTTTTCCCTTGGGCAGGTTTTACACAAAGACTTTTTTTTTAAGAGCAATTATTATTATTATTAAAGTTAAACAACCATTCTAGTACTTAGCTAGCTTGCTTACTTTTCCCTACCCTCCAAATTGCTTTGCTTTTGTGAAATAATGTTTCTTTTTCTGCATTTTAGGTTAGGAGAAAAATTATCAGTGTGTTTTGACTTTTTACAGTAATATGCTATCTCCAATTAAGTATCTATTCATGGTAAAAACACACACACACCAAGAATCATAAGACAGAGATTCTTTCAAAGGTTTTAAATATGTTCCTTTTATTTAAGAGCTATGACACACATATTGTAATAAAAATATCCTGTGTTCTGAGGAATACAGAGACTTTTTTCAGTTGCAGAAACAGTAAAACACTGTATTAACAAAATAATCAGTGGTAGTTTGAGTATATGGTCAAAATCTGTTAGAACCTTCATCTTTTTTTTTTCCTTCTTGGCAAATTTTGCATCTACTGGTCTTTTTGGTTTTCTTTGATTCCTTCTACTGTGGCTCTTTGAAGTGATTCAAAATTAAACAGTAGCTACTTTTTTAGGGAAATTCATCATGTTATGTTCAAGATTCCAGAAGAGTTAATGATGCAGAAAAAGTCCTGTAAAACATCTTTCTAAAAGAAGTCCTTCTCTTGCAGGCTCCCACTTACTGGCCTCCTGTCCCATTTGCAGTGAATTGGAACTGCCTTATTTATTTATTTTTCAAATACCACCTCTAACTTAATTTAATGTGGGATGTATTTCTGCAGCTCCATGTGTCCTGAGTCCTTCGAACAAAGCAGTGTCGTTGTTATGGATCCGTAATAAGGGAAGGTCAAAGAAAATATCCTTGTATAATTTGGGAAGTCAAAAGGCCATATTCATGATTCTCAAACACTGGTCAGTTATTCTGCTAATACTTAACCAAGAACATACTTTTTTTCCTGGCAGTTTGGTGGTTAAAAACCTTAGCCATTTTTTGAAGCTTTCACGAAAACCTCTGGAGTTACTAACCATTAGGTGCTCATTAAAACTGAGGATTTTTTTTTTTTTTTCTCTCACTTTCTTCCCAGGTTGCTTTTAAGGCAATGCACAAGGAACTTGGAAAAAGGTCTTCTGTTCTCCTCAGTTCACAGGTCATATTGTTATATTTCAGTTCACTTTATTAGAGCTTTCAAGACACAGATAAAAGAATCTCCCATCTGAACCTTTTAAGAACCAGAGGGCTTTTGGATTTGAACCCAATGAAAAATATCAGGTCTCAAAGTTCATAAATGCTATTAGGCCTCAGAATTCTGAAAGTGCCTTCAATAGGGAGTCAGGAACAGTGGCTCCAAAAATTGGTTCACAAATACATTGAACCAACAGAGGTCCATTGAAGTCAACAGAGGTCAGGAGGCTGAATGGAAACCTTAGATGCATATCAGTCCTGAAATAGGTTCACGTGCTGATGTCACTCAGCCCCAGCTGCCGGTGGATGTCACTTTCATGAGAATCCAGTGTCAGAGAATCCTCGGTGATCGTTTTCTCTCCCACTTGGATCCCAAGTGGACTCTAATACTTAGTAGGAGGAAATAATGCAGGAACTTTGAACACACGTCATACACATTAGATAGAGATGAGGTGAGGAGTTCGGGGAGTGGTTTAGATAAATACT